ATAAGAAAACTACAGAATATATTATGATTTTAACAAAAGTTTTTATTAAATCGTCAAATTTAGTTAAATAAATAAAATTAGAAAAATATTACTAGTAATAACTAGTAACTTGTAGTAACTTTACGGAATTTCATGGAATTATGGCTCCATGGGACACAAGGGCTGTGTTCCGAAATTTACTGCCACTACTGAAAATCTATGGGTTTGTTCGTTTTAGCTACACTGGGGCTGCTCTGGGTCTGCTCTACACAGGATAATACAGGACAGATAAATAGTTTGTCCTGTATTATCTTGTTTAGAGCAGACCCAAAGCTGCCCCAGTGCAGCTAAAACGAACAAGCCTTATAATTTACGTTACATATATTGTAGATTTTCAGTACTGGCAGTGAATTTCGGAACGCAGCCTAGGAGATAAAAACACACGTAACGTTACGGACGAAATACCTAGTAACTTTTGCGGACTTTCGGTGCGGATTACGGATTACGGGCTGTATGTGACGGCATCCTTACACAACTGTTTTGTGCCTGACACTGTGTCTATTTGTGTTTCATTGGTGGAAAACTACCGTTATTACCATTGAGTAAAAAGAAACTGGAGGGAGCATATACTAGCCAGGACTAGGTAAATCCGCAGACGGATGTACATACGTCATGGCAGCTATTTTGAGCGACCACTTTTTGAAAGTGAGAGGGAATGCTCGAGCATAGCGGCAAGCGGCATACCGTACGCCGTACGCATTAATATGCAGTGTATAGTCTTTTATGCAACAGTGTATGGAAATAAACGATCAAAATGGTATACTGTAGAGCTTGTGGCATAACAGCAGCAGCTCGAAATCATGGAATAACGTTTCATCGGTTAGTATTATCAACAATAATGAGATTTTTATTTTGGAGATTATAATCATATGTATAGTATTGTGAAATTGTAAATTCACAATAATTACTAAATAATTTTCACTCACAAACAGGTTTCCGAAAAATCCGGATCAAAGAAATGCATGGATAAATTTTTGTAAGGACGAAGGATTTAATATAAATTTAGATTTTAGATTTTAACATTGCTCTTATGGAAATACTGCACGAGTGCAATTCCAATGAAAAACGCCATTAAAATTTGGTATTATTGTAGCATATTTTAGTTATTTTCTTTTAATTGTACATTATTTCCTAGTTAAACATAACAAGTCATTCAATATTGGCGCCCTTGAGCGGCCATCTTGAGCGACCACTTTATATAGTCACTTCCGTCCGCACTTTTAAGACCAAACGCTCC